GAAGAACTTTTTCTCTCAGAGAGTGGTCAGGCACTGGAATGGCTGCCCAGGGAGGTGGTGGAGTCGCCGTCCTTGGCAGTTCCAAGAGGCCTCTGGATGAGGAGCTGCGAGATATGGTTTAGTGCTTGTGGTAGCGGTTGTATTGGGAGGGTGGTTGGACTGGATGATCTTGCAGGTCCTTTCCAACCTTGTGATTCTTTTGTTCTATGACTCATTATATCCTTCTAAATGTTACAAGATAATAAAGCTTAGTATTTTGTCTTTGCGCTGTTGTGCATACACTTGGCCATGTTTAGTCATAATACAGACAGAAAGGACTCCTTCCATAATTGTGTCACATTGTATAGATAATTGTTACCATGTCTGATGAAGCATGGATGGATCTAGGACAGCTGGAGTTGGGACTGATGTGTGTCATGGGTCATTTTAAGACTGAATATGTCTATTTTCCCTTTTATCTCTCTGTGCTTCCCTCTTATTTCTGTTCCTGGTAAGTGTCACTCGTATTCTGCTACTTTTTTATAGGCTGCATTTGCTTCTGTGGGCTTTTCTGGCCACTGTGTATTTTTTGATGTTAGATACTTTTTAGTTGCATAACAAGTTGCCATCAGCTTTCCTTTATTAATGGACTGGATAGTGTAATGGGCTGAAGTATATGAGAACTCACCTTATTTGCTGGCTCCTTGATCCTTAACTTCTTTGTCAGCCTTTTGATCCAAGTATTCTGTTACTGTCTCCTTTTGAGAGCTGGATTTTACCAGGTGACTGTAAAAGCATTTTTCACCCAGAGGTCACCCTGATATCCTTGTGGTTTTACTGCTAATATTTCAAGAACTGAAACTAGGTATTTACTTCCATAAGAGCACATTGTACTGAAGATACTTCTCCTGCAGAGCCTTTTAATCACAATTTCTCATGATACTGCTTTCTAGAAGAAGGCAGGCAGAAAGCTGAATATATAGTGATATAGTAGTGTATATATAGTGGTTTTTTTCAGTGTGCACATTCATGACTAACAGCATGGGTTGTCTCTTTCTCCAGATACTCTTCTGCCCATAATTCAGTTTATTTCACAGCTGGCTTTAGAGTCCCTTCGTGCTTGGTTGCAGACCAGGTGGGCACTTTCACTCCTTCAGGGACAGAGCAATGCCAGGAGAGCCGTCTTGTTTGAGCCGTGCTTGGCTTTGGTTCTTGCAGCATGCATCCTTTGAAGCAGCGTAGTGGTCAGCATGAAAAAGTAGCACAAATAAAGGCTTTGAGCAACCACACAACAGAACCACTGTGAAAAATCTTGAGGAAAAATGGCAGACAGGGATGCATAATGTGCTGTGAAGGCAGTCACCCATCGCTGTGAAGTGTTGCATTAATGCTACCATCGTGTTCGTCCTCTGCTTGTGGAGAGAAGGGAAAGCTTATATGAGTCAGTGAAAATCTTCAGGAGTAGTAACACAGGGACTTGTTCTGAAGTCTGTGCAAGTTTGAGCAGCTCGTGTCCCTGCTACATCCTTGTTGACTGTGCCCTGAACTGAGTCAGGAAACTGTTTATTAGAAGAACGATTTGGCAGACGGGTTTATTGTGGTCGGTTAGAATTGTTTAGTGGAAGGGCTGACAGTGGGAGTTAGTGCGGAGGCTTCGGTGAGATGGGAGACTGGAGCTTGATGCAGCTATTTGAGTCGGAAGCTTGGAAAGCAAATGTTATCCTGGGCTCCATCAGAAGAGGCTTGGCCAGCAGGAACAGGGAGATGATTGTCCCCCTCTACTCTGCCCTTATGAGGCCCCATCTGGAGTGCTGTGTCCAGGTATGGAGCCCCCAGTACAAGAAAGACAGGGAGAGGGTCCAGAGGAGAGCCATGAAGATGATCAGGGGACTGAAGCACCTCTCCTACAAAGACAAGCTGAGGGAGCTGGGCTTGTTCAGCCTGGAGAAAAGAAGGCTGTGGGGTGACCTCGTTGTAGCCTTTCAGTACCTGAAGGGAGCCTACAAACAGGAGTGGAATCAACTCTTTGAAAGGGTAGATAGCAGCAGGACAAGGGGAAATGGTTTTAAGTTGAGGAAGGGAAGATTTAGGTTGGATGTCAGGGGGAAATTCTTTACAGAGAGAGTGGTGAGGTGCTGGAACAGGCTGCCCAGAGAGGTTGTGGATGCCCTGTCCCTGGAGGTGTTCAAGGCTAGGTTGGATGGGGCCCTGGGCAACCTGGTCTAGTATTAAATGGGGAGGTTGGTGGCCCTGCCTGTGGCGGGGGGTTGGAGATTCATGATCCTTGAGGTCCTTTCCAACCCTGGCCATTCTGTGATTCTGAGTCAGTGCACATATGACTGTGCCTTTTTGTGCTGGGTTTCATACCCAGTCTTTATGGGACTGGGTTGAAGCAGGAATAGGGAAATGGTTCTATTTACTGAAAGATTAAAACTAGTTATGAGTAACTCAGGAGCTGGTTGACAGAGTGATGGTGAGTGGTTTTGGTTCTTGTTTTTGTTTTGGAAGAAAGCTGCAAAAATGTACCAACACTTTCAAAACTGAAACTAGAGGAAATTGCTGTGGCTTAATTTAATTTCTGCATAGGATTGTGAAAAGAGAGGGAAAAGTACAACTGATGTTGCAAGCAAATTAGTATATTCATCTTAGGTTTTATACTTTCTTGCATTTCAAAACATGTGCCAAATTGTTTTGCATAGTTCTTGTATTAAAGCATCAATGTGCTTTAAATGATCAACATTGCAGTTGCATAATCAGCTGGTTGGTTGGTTTTTTGTTGTTTTATTTCCCAAAGTTGTGTCGTGTGGGGTTGTATTTGTGTTTTTGTCTTTTAATTTAAAATGTTGAGCACAATCTGAGAAGTGTTCTTAGGGGAGCTGGTACCTGCAAAAGGTTCACTCTGACTGTTCCTCTGGTAGCTTTTGTTCAGCAGCTTGTGTGGAGCAATTGTCCTTGTATGAAGATGAACAGTTGTGCAGCCGATGACTTGTTTGGTTGTCTCTGTCATTTCTGAAGCAGATAAATGAAAATGAAAGCCTCTCTTCTTTTTTTGTACTTGTGTACTTGCGTTGTCTTTTCTTTGGTAATGAAGTGCTACTTTGTTTTCAGGTTGATACTTTTTATTTCTGATGATCATGATATATATGATATATCTGATCTGATCATTATTTCTGATGATTTATGAATTATATGTCATCATAATCTAGTAAATAAGAAGAGTATTTTCAACTGTCCAGTCCGTGCCACCTCTATTTATATTAGTAGTTTAACCATTGATTACTATAGTTTTAAATTATTATTATTTTTTAGCTTTAAAACTAAAGTTTGTTTGCTTGTTTCCCTTAAAAGAAATGAAGTCAAGCAACAGAGTTCTTCAGAGAAAGCTAAAATATTCAGTACAGCTATAGACAGTCGTGTTCTGAGCTGGTAAATGTTATGTAAGGGAATAAGCTTTTTGGAGACCAAAGGTTAAGTCTGTGAGCACTTTGAAAGTTGTGGCTGATGTGTTGTATGATCTTCACATAGAAATACTTGTGCTCATTAAAATGTGGATCATTTAATGAAGTGTATCACGGGCCAGCTACAGCTATGTGGATTCCTCTCAGTTCAGGTATGCAGTTTTACAGTGCTATAGTAACATGCTATATTGCAGTATAACTTTTGTGGATTATCTGTGCGAAGGAAACCTTTGCATAGACAGTAAAATAATTAACATTCTTAGACATTCTAAAGATTCTGTATTTGCAGCTGAAATGAAGACCCACGTATTCAGTCTGATTATATTTTCCTGTGAGATTGTGATCTAGCAATTGTTGAATAGTACAAATAATTGAAAAAGTACCCAGAAATTCAGGGAGCATTCATTTTCTGCATCAGTCAGCAACAAGAAAGAAGAATGATAGAAGAAAAAGCCCAAAGCATCTGGCTGGCATCCATTCCCAATCATTTCTGTAATTGTCTGTGGATCAAAAGAACAGGTGATAGTCGTTACTGGCACCTTCTAGCATCTGAGTGCCCTGACATCTCAGTTGTCCATTTTCGAGGCTGAGTAGGATTTTGACAAGCTTGAAGGGGCACATCTGTATGGGTGTAGTTCTTTGTGTCACTATGAAGCAAAGGCAGAGTGAACCAAATTATTTTCAAAAATTAGTGTTTACTTAAGTCCCATACAACATGATGGGACTAGTCTTAAAAATAACCCCTTTTTCAAGGACAGACTTTCACCTTTATTCCTTGCTTTTTGTTGTGTGTTTCTTTGTTCTTGTTTGGGTTCATTCTCTCTAATTTGTACGTTGTCAGCAGTGAGAAGCTGCAAGTGGTGCAGTTAGGAACTGTTGATGGATAAAAGGAGATTCTTGTTAGTGCTAACAGATTTAACAGTCACTTCACATGTGGGAATTTGAGAAACTAAGAATATGTGGCATTCCTTTCCTCCTTTTCCAAATGAAGCACTGTGGTGGTCTGTTGTACAAACTGTATGAGGAAGTTTGGGCAATGAATGCTCTTAGCAGGTCTGACCTTCTGCAGCAGACAAAGGGCTGGGAAGCAGGGAAGGATCCTGCTATGTGCCATCCATGCGGGGGTGAGCACCGTTTTGACTAAGGTAATACATAACTTGGCAAGGAATATTTATGACCTTAGTAATAAATGTTTTGTTATATATTATCTAAACCGTGACTGTTCATATGAAGGATGGCAACATCTAAAGAGTAATAGTTTTTGACAGGCAAGAGAATAATCCATAATCTGAACTGTATCATTGGGCCCCTTTACTGATTTTGCAGTTTGCTTGCTAGAGTTGGATTTGAGAGGTGTAGGAGTCTGGCTATATGGATAAAGTCACTAGATAAGGGTTTTGAACTGTAAATGCTATTCAGCATATTCCTGTCTATAAAATACTTAATGTACATTGTCTGCATTGTGTATAATAAACCTGAAATGATCATATTTTAAATAGACTATTTATATGCATTTAACCTACATGTATTCCTGAAAGTGTTATTGATTTTGTTTTCTTGTAGCTAACGGAAGATGAAATTGCAACTATTCTGAAATCTACTCTTAAAGGACTTGAATATTTGCACTTTATGAGAAAAATACATAGAGATATAAAGGCTGGAAACATTCTTCTTAACACTGAAGGACATGCAAAATTAGCTGATTTTGGTGTGGCTGGCCAGCTAACAGTAAGTACCTGTGGAAAGGTGATTTGAAAGTGCTTACTACTCCTAACTGTGTTTTACACAGTCTCTTCTGCCTTGAATTTTGAGTCCAAGGAGGAATTAACGGTGCTAACAATCTTTATCATGATGAATATTTAATGTACTGCAAGATTATTTAGTTTCTAGTGGTTTATTATTATAACCTACTGCACTTCAAGTGCTTGCTGATCTCACTTTAAACTTCTGTTCAAGGTTTATGATCGAGATTGAGGTGACAACTCTCTGACTTCTAAAACCTGGTGGCCTCAATCTGTTTAGTCTTAATTGGAAGTCATTACAGTTTGACCTTTGGGTGGCTAATTTAATTTCTAAATATAGAATAAATATCAAAGGAATCTGTGAAAATAAACATCTCTATTTTAATTGTATAAATAATATAATTACAGGATACAATGGCAAAACGTAATACTGTTATAGGAACTCCATTTTGGATGGCTCCAGAAGTAATACAAGAGATTGGCTATAACTGTGTGGCAGACATCTGGTCCCTTGGTATCACTTCAATAGAAATGGCTGAAGGAAAGCCTCCCTATGCTGATATTCATCCAATGAGGGTAAGCGTGTGGGGGGGCAATTTATTGTTGTTGCATCAGGAATAAAAGAAAAAGAAAAAATAATGATACGGGAATCATAAAACTGTGCATTCATGGACAAAATTTAGAAGATTTTCATTTGCTGTCTCGCTTCCTGTTTGCTGCAGTTTGTATTTTAATGTGTATTTGTAAGTTTTTCGAGTGAGAGAGATTGAAAGCAGTAATTGCTTAATTGACTTAAGGCAACGTACAGAGCCTGTTTCGGACTGCAGCTGTACTTGCAGAGTTCCCAACCGAGAGGCCGTTCTCCTTTCTTAAGGGAATTTTGATTTGAAAGTTGTCTGGGAAAGAATTTAGGATTGTCTTAAGTGGGCACTGTTAATGCTAGTAACCCTTGGCAGTTTATATTTATACTGGCTCTTACAGTATGTTACTGCATTAATACACTTCTTGCAAAATAAAATGTAAATACAATTAGTCACCGTATGAGAAGTAGCACTTAAAAGGAATTGCTCTGTGAAGTTCATGGGGAAAACTGTCTATGGATGACTGCTGCCAGTGTTAGTCATACTTCTGTTTTCTTTTCTGAAATGAACTGTGGACTCACTACACCGACTGGGCATCAACAGATACTCCATTCCTGGATTGTTTATATCTAAAACTCTTTGGTAGTAAAAAGGCACTATGTGTTTTTAGAAGCAAATTTTTCATCTTTGTGCTTTGCTGCAAAAACAACATACATACCGGATTATTGCATGCAGTTTTACTTGTGTTCCATATCAGGATCTCGATCTAAGTAAGCCAGTACTCCTCAGAGAGAAGGTGCTGTTCATATGTGATTACTGAAAGGTAGCATATATGCAAGTTCAAGGGTATTTAATTCTGTTGGATTCTTGGTTTTCGTTTGTGCTTTTTGGAGCCAAGATGTTTCCTGAAGCTTTTTCTGTGTGCAGTTCAATTAAAGCTAGTGAGTGTTCTGCAGCTTGGAGGCATTACATCATTTTGAAAATGAAACTTTGTATTTTTCTAGCTCCACTTTTTTTTTTTCTGGGTAATTAGCTATTTTAAAATCAGTGTCTGAACTGAACATACTCAGAAGAAAGCTGAGAAGAACAAGATAAATATCTCTACCGCTTGTTTTTAATGGGTAATTTAATTCAATATGAGGTGACGTGAAAAAAAAACGTTTTGAAGAACTACTGATGAGAATTCAGTTGTATTTGGTCATGCTGTTTTCTCGATTGTACTTTGATTGAAGTAGTCTTCATTATGTCTGAATTCATTTTAACAAAATAGCCTGTAGTTGCACTGGCTGTTGAAAGGTGAGGACTGCGTTATCGGAAAGGATTTTATAAGCATGACAATAGCTGCTTATAAATCAAAGGTCACTGTTTGAGTTTGAAGGCTTGTGAATCTGTTTAATTCTTGTAATCAAATGAGTGCTATCAAAGGCCAAAGTAATTTAACACGACAATTCTGGATTACATTGAACATATGTTCTTGTTAATAAATTACGTTATGGTTTTAAGGGCTTTGTATGCTGTTAGTACTCTTTTGTGTATTTGATACTTAGAGTTTTTCTTAATTTTTATTAGTGAGTTGTTACAGTGGTTAACAAGAAATACACAGATTTAAGTTGCAATAGCTTTCCCAGCGTCATATGATACAGCTTCACAGGACATTTGGACATATGTAGATGCTTTCCTACTTTGTTTTAGTTATGACACAGAATTGATACAGGCAAGCATGAAAGCTTGGGCAAATTTTCATTGCTTTTTCTAGATGTTGCTGGAGTTCTGCGGTATTTATGTAAGGCACAATTTTGTTGCTTGGGAATGCATGTTGAAATTATCATGTGCACTATTTTGCTGTAGGCTGGCTGGCACTGCCACAAAGGTAATGCGCTGCCAGTAGGCCATTTCCTTGTCAACTGCATTTACAGCTTAATAGAAATATTACATGACTTCTTTAAACAAGTGTTTTGGCAGAGAGGAAATAGCAGATTCCATGCAAACAAGCATAGCTTCCTCTGCTTAACCACACTCTGGCTACTCTGAAAAATTGTGCTGGTTTCAGCTGGGAAAGAATGAGAAGCGGGGGTTGCAAAATGGAATTCGATGTGGGAAAAAGAATCACTTTCTGTTCAAGTATTTTGCGTTAAGCTTAATTGTCTGCATACGTATCATAAGTGTTACTTCACTTGTTTCTGAGGCATCTGAGTTAAGTGTAACCTGAAGTTATCGTACGTGGTTTGCAGCTCAAAGATCAAGGCCATTGGTTAGCCCAGTGCTCTCATACTTCACTCACTTAAGAATTATGCCTTGCATGTTTGATGTCAGAACTCTTTTGTGCTTTTGGTGGCGCTGTAATCATGGTGTGCTTTGCTAAAGATGAGGAGTGAAACTTCTGTGTTTTCTCTGACAAGTGTCCCACAAAGAGTAATCTCAAGTAGTTTGGAGCAGTTTTAAAGGGAAAAAACATACAGGCATCCTCATGGATAGTGACAAGACAAGGAGGAATGGTCTTAAACTGAGACGGGGAGGTTTAGGTTAGATATTAGGAGGAAGTTTTTCACACAGAGGGTGGCGACACACTGGAACAGGTTGCCCAAGGAGGTTGTGGATGCCCCATCCCTGGAGGCATTCAAGGCCAGGCTGGATGTGGCTCTGGGCAGCCTGGTCTGGTGGTTGGTGACCCTGCATGTAGCAGGGGGTTGGAACTGGATGATCACTGTGGTCCTTTTCAACCCAGGCCATTCTATGATTCTGTGAAAACATGGTGGTACGGCCATTAGAAGTAGTGAATTTGTTGTTAAGTATAAAAATGACTCAAAGCTAGATAAGTTTACCTGTTCAGCAGGACTAAAAGCTCATTGACTGATTGCACAAGTCAGCTTAATGAGCGCTGTTAATCAGACTAACAGTGTGTGCATCTGCCTTTGATTGCCCTGCTGGGATGAGCGGTTCCGAAAATTATAGGGGAGTTAATTAAAGAGGGCTTCTGTGTGGTTCTAGAGCAAGACTTGAGCTCCTGCTCTGGACTTTCACTGCTGATCTTCAACAGCTGTGCTCTTGTGTCACAAAAGGACTGAAGTATGTATGCAGATCTGTACAAAGGAACAAAGTTTTATGTGGTGATGGTGGTGAGGCACTGGAGCAGGTTGCCCAGAGAGGTGGTGGAATCCCCATCTGTGAAGACATTCAGGATCAGGCTGGATCTAGCAACCTGATCTAGCTGTAGGTATCCCTGCTTACTGCAGGGTAGTTGGACTAAATGACCTCTAAATATCCCCTCCAGTGACTTCATGATATCTGTCCCTATTATCTGTTTGTTTCTGGAGGCCTTTTAAAATTTTTATTTATTATATGTAAGGAAAACACAGGGATTAACAGTTTTTCTAAAGGAGTTGTCACGCTTTTAGATGGAATTTCGTAAAGGGCTTTTGAAATGTCTTGTGTTTGCCTGTTAAGCTGTGGTCTCAAATCTGCTGTATAAGGGAGCTGGTTTTGGTGGAAGATCATCTAAGCTGTGAAGTTTTTAACTTGATCACAGTCTACCCACTGCTGATATTTGTCTGTGTTAACAAATAGATTAACAGCACTTTGCCATTAAACTAATTTTAAACATTAAGAATGGCAGCTTTTGAGATCCTTTCTCTAAGACCACCCATATCATATGTATTTTCTTTATATTCACTTACTCCTATGAGGCTGTGATTTTCATTATCAGTTTAAGGCAATTAAGGCGTGGGCTGCTGCTTATAGGCACAGCCTAGCCCTTACCAGGAGCTCCTGCTGACCTTTCTGTGAGCAAACACTGGCATTTTTGAGGCCTCAACAAGGAGTTTGACAAAGTAAATGATCTAAAACATGAACCTGCTGGAACTGAGCAAGAGGAGATGGAGGAGCACACAGATGGACAGGGGAAGTGTTTGGAGTGGAGCTGGTGCTTTTGGCCGCAGCTCTGTGCTGATCCGTGTAGACCAACAATAAAACTGCAGCCTGCATTTTATAAAATTTGCTCTTCTTTGCAAGGCCAACACTTAGTGACAGGATAGAGCATTTCAGATGAATGCTGGTAGCTCACTTTAAAAAAAAAAAACAAACCTCTTTCATGCTTATCAGGCAGCTGCAATAATTCATGTTGCTACGGTATGGAAGAAGAGAAGAAGCTGGTGGTAGATGCATTTTTCAACACTTCACAGTATTGGCCTTTGTTATTTTATGATGAGGTTTGTTGGAAATGGACATGTGGGCATCACATGTTCTACAGTGAATTGGAGGAAGCCAATTTGAACTGCTTCCATTTGCTTTAAGTCCAATCATGATATTTATTTTTCCATGGCACTTACCCAGATTATCCATGCCTCCTGCTTAGCCTGTGTCATTTCCATCCTGGACTAATCTGTTTGTAATAACCTTTTATGCCTGATGTATCTTATAACAATCTACCATTTCCCCGTTTTTTATTCTCAGCATATTGCACTAAAAATGGAAATTGAAGTGAGAATTATTGCTGCATAAAGTTGAAGAACCAAGGAAGTTGTTCTGTTCAAGGAAGTTGTCCTGTTCAGTATTGCTGACTGATTTAGCCAAGTTTTTCATGCATTGAGGAAACAATTTCCTTTCCATCTTCTATGCCAGAAGTTGAGGTTGAGGAAAAAAAGCTCTGTTGGCATTGCCAGGTGTTTTTTCTGTGTAGTCAGTTCTAACAGAAGGAATGCTTACATTTATTTTTTTCTCTGACACATGGAATTGTCTCATTGGTGTCTATTGTTTTATTTCAGAGGTCATCGTTGGCACTACTGCCTTTAATTTAAAGCAGCCTACTTAAAATATATTACACTAGTTTCTTATTTTAGTGCTTTCGTTTATCTTTAGAAGAGAATTTTAGAGAATACTTCCAAAAGTCGTTCCCTTTTAAGAACTTTCTATGAGGTGATTTTTGTTAATTTGTAACTTGAGATCTTCCCTGCTGTTTCTAGATAGAGTAAGCTAATATTTAAAGAGATTTAAAATATG